ATGCAAAAAGTTGATAAGACGAAAACATCATCAATCAATCAATCAATCAATCTCTCTCTCTCTCTCTCTCTCTCTATATATATATATATATATATATATATATATATATATATAAAATCAATTGTTCGAAAATTATAACATAAAAATGTTATAGAAATCACTACAAAATAGCCATTTTGTTTCAACACTTTTGATGTCTTCTGAAGTGATGGTGTTGCTTATATATATATATATATCTATATATATATATATATATATATATATATATATATATATATATATAGAGAGAGAAAGAGAGAGTGAGAGTGAGAGAGCTTGCTTACATTAGTTTCTCAACTATTTTTAATTCAAGGCGCACTTGTGGAATTACTAAAACACTGGGCCGCACTTTAAATTTTAATAAGCACAAATTAATCAAAGACATTACATTATATATTTAATCGGTAGAGTTTTCATTTAAATGGATTTATGAATAATCTTCTATTTTTCTTTTAGTGAGATCGATGATGATTGATTTCAATGCATCGAGGAAGGCCAAAAATAATGCCCTCGTTAAAGATTAAGTAATTTAACATCCAGTTTAAAACGTCAAATGACAAAGACTTGATTAAGACATGGAGGCCAGGTTCATGGTGCCTCTATCTTTTTAAAAAAAATCAAGACTTTTTTTGATATAAGAATAATTAATAAATTACTCAGGGCGCATCTGTGCGCGCATGCGCGTGCGTGTGTGTGAGAGCATTTTCTGTGAGCACAGTTTTCTCGAATGTCAATTTAAGAATTTTTTTGTTGTAGGAATATATATATTCCATTAAATATATATATATATATATATATATATATATATATATATATATATATATATATATATATATATATATGAATATCAGTGTGTCATTGTGTCACACTTTTTCAACTGTATTCCTAGAGGCAGTAGCCCAACGTATACCATTTTTGAATCATGCCGACTCTGTGATCAAATTAAAAGCAATCCCGGTCGGATCCGGACCCGCAATCATTACTTTCCATTACTGCAATTGTTTTCGGCGATTTTTTTTCGTGATTTTGAAGAGAAAATAATGATATAATCAAGATCCTTACATTCGAAACTACTTCAAATTAAAAGTTTACGAAGGAAATTGCCATTAATACTGGAAAGAAGAATAAATTACTGGACTTGAGAAAAACTATATTCCAGAAAAATTGAAGGTTTTATAAAATCAAAGCAAAAGAAGAAATGGCTGCACGGTCAATGAACGCTAAATGGTCCTTGATATAGAAAATTTTTATATTACCTTTACCTTTCTTTCTTTCTTTCTTTCTTTACTTCTTTCTTTCTTTCTTTCTTTCTTTCTTTCTTTCAAAGAAAAAAATGTTATATTAAGTTACCATAGGTGTTTATCTATCTATCTATCTATCTATCTATCTATCTATCTATCTATCTATCTATCTATCTAAGGAAAGATGTTATATTACCGTCACTATAGAGGTATTCCATCTATCTATCTATCTATCTATCCATCTATCTATCTATCATCTGTTGTTCATATGATTTTATATATATATTTTACGGTTTTTGTCCCATCTGTTTTTGAAAGCAACAAGCAGGGAAGGTATTTAGAAGAACCTTTCTTCATTAAATATCACCTCTTTTGACCACGTTCACATGCATTTTGAAATGATTGCATATAAAATTCGACCTCTTTAATCCGGCATCCTTGGGACCAGACCACTGCCGGACCACAGAAAATCCTGGACGACACCCCGAAGAAGCCCTCTGCAAACATAATCTTGCCAGCTGATTGTACATATATTTTGATGACGTTAATTAACTTCACATTTTTAAGCATAAAGATTTATGCTTACGCTTCTTACCTCTGGCAGCATCATCTGCACCTCCTACTCAGTTGGGTGGCATCTTGATGAGTAAATATTCTGAAAAATATAAAATAATGAGCAAGATCATATCACCAAAACACTCTGCTGGTGTCGGCTGCAGCGGAAAGTTGTGAAAAACGTATGGTGCTGCCCTCATAATCGCTCAAGGAATTATTTTTTGACAGTGGTGTTCACCCTGTACAAGGCCTGAGTGCCACTCGGGGTAGAGGGTTACCTAGTTCTGAACAGGTTAAGATTGTAGGGATCAGGGAAATAACACTTGAGAGTCGGATCCGCAAAGTAGTGGTTTGTGAGAAGCTGTTTGGGTTGAACTGCCATCTCACCAGGGTAATACGAAGGGAATGAGAATGGTTAGTTACATTTTGCATTGCATGGTGTCTCCTAGCCGAGAAGGTTAAAACTGGTGGAACTAAGGAATGTAATTCGCCTGGACACTTCCCATGGAAATAGCGATAGAGCTGTGAGAGACTTGCGGCCTTTTGTCTTTGAGAAAAAATGTGAGAATTTCTTCTCACACAGTTTAACCCCTGGCAGAGACAAGAAAAGACATACAATTAACAAAGCCTACCTTAAAATTCAATACAAATTTTATTGCGTCTTTGCAAAAAAAAAGATTATGCCCTTTTTTGCCCCTGTGAATAGGAAGGGGTAGTTACTTCAAAGAAGTGCTAGTATTTTTCTTCTCTGTAGGACTCGTCTGGTCTCTATGCAGATTCAAAGAAGCAGGAACTTGACGGTCGTCGAACAGGAGCATTACCAATTTGGTTGCTGAAATAAAAACTCGGCTATTTGTCGAGAGCATGCAGAAAGGTTCTTCATGCAAAAGTACATAATGTGACGACAGTCAATAAACCGACTGAATTATTCAGCCTTGAAAAGTCTCTAGAATATGAGACAAGAAGAATGATTGCCTAGTCATTTAGGCTTAATTTTTATCGATAAAGGCCCTGTAAAGTGATTGAAATATGAGTCCTGGCATTTTGAAGAATTTGCAGCAACTGATAAAAGGGCACGGGCCGTTGAAAAAGCCCGCGAAAAGCAAAGTAAAATTCAACCAATGAGATTTGTCGGTACAAAATACGGTGTGGCATAAATTAGCCAATAGGAGCTTAATTGCAGAATTTCTCACAAGAAGTCGTAGAGCGGAAAATCGGACGCAGAGACGCGTTTCTACTCTATCGAGAGTGGAAAGTGCCGCCTGGACAGCTCCCACCCATATATGGAAGCATTACTCAATTTACGGTCTCATCTGGCTCTTGTAAAAGGTTGATGATAGCAGGAAAAGTGAGGTACTTGCTGGGAACAAGTAACGATAACTGACGGACCACGGAATTAAAAGGGGTAGTAATGCTTAAGAAACGGCATCCATTCTCAGTTTTTGGTGTTGTAAATTGCTGTCAGTGTACGGCAGCAGAAAAGGTTACTTAATATTTCATATACGAGGGCTGCTCCGAAAGTAATGCCTCACATTTATTCCCACAGAAAAATTCTGACATCTCTTGGATCTGAAACCTTTCACCTGCAACACGTCGCGCTTTGCAGATCGTCAGCACCATTCATATTCGTCGCCCTCTTCTCTTCATGGGTTGGCAGCTATTCGGGACCGCCCCGGAAGTTTCTTCACACACACACACATAAACACACACACGCGTGCGCGTGCACACACACACACTGACGTCAAAATTGTTGAAACACATTAGCCTAACTGCATTCATATCCTCTGTTTGGTCTCCGTAAACGTCTCATTCGGGGTAGTTCTTTACCTACTGTCTGCAAATTCGTTCAGGGTAGGTGGTGCCAAATGTCCCAACAACATTCGCTTCACACGCTCTGCTTACATTCCCAAAATAATGTTAGCGAATAACACATACAGGGTGCGGCAGAAATAGCTCCCACATATTCCACCCACATAACTGTAAGTCATTAGTTGCAGTGGTGCCTTCCTCTAGCTAATATCTTACGATTATGCGGGAGGTATATCTGGGAGGTATTTCTGCCGCACCCTGTTCCTTAACATCTTTTGGAAACTCATCTTTTTTCTCTTTTATTTTCTGTTGTAGAATTTATTATATATTTTAATTGTTATTTATTAAAAGTACTACAGGGTTCAGAAGAATTACCCCATCTCATATATTTCCCATATAGTATTAAAACATTAATATCAATAATGTCTTCATCTAATTAATATCTTACCATTATGTTGGAGATATTTCTGTTACACCCTGTATTAGTTATAACAAATACAAACTAAAATAGATAATGAACGCTTCGCAGGAAAATAAAAGAAAAATGATGAATTAAACAACTAAAAAGAAAAACAAAATCAGACGCGGGGGTGGGGATTAACAACGAAAGCAACAATTAAAAAGTGAGCTCACTAGTCTATACAGCTCTTGGACTGATAATGACTCATCTTAAAATGACAGACGATACAGAATGGTCCAATACAAAGAGAAAAGGATATGAAAAAATTGGCATAGTTACTTGCATAAAAGCTAAATAAAATGGAAGAAAATATGAAAAAAAAGAAAAAAAAGAAGTGAAATTTGAAAAAAAAGAAACATAATAATAATGGTGGGGAATTGAATAAAAGAACTTTTTCTTGTACAGACTTCATCCACACAATTCTTTCTTTCATTCGTTTATTCCTTTATCCACGTAAACCGGGTTCTCTTCTGCCAGTCATTTCTCTACGTCCATTACGAATTCTCCCCCACTTGGGCAGTTTCTTTATGTCCCCTTTCATGGCATCCACCAGACCACACAAGAACTTCGCTTGGTCATTCTCGGGAGACGTTTTTCTGCCGATTGTTCGTTGCTTCTGCAATGATTTCAAGAAGTTTAAGATGGGCTTCCTTTCTGAATGAGCGTAAAGGCAGCCATGTTGAAAGAATGATGTTCACAGGAACGAGTGTCTCCAGATAATGGACATGTTCTTTCAGTCTTTGTTTGCCGCAAAATGCTAGACAATAACGTTTGCAATGATGTTGTAATTGCGAAAGGGAAAGAGATAGAACGGCAGAGAGAAAGAGACAGACAGACGGTGACAGAGAGAACGAAAGAGAGCGATAAACACTCACATACACAGTTATATATACATCTTATATACACAGCTGGTAAGAGAGATGTGTGACTGAGACAGAAAGACAGAGAGAGAGAGAGAGAGAGAGAGAGAGAGAGAGGAGAATCAGGTTAGACTGTATACAAGTAAAGAGAAGGAAAATAGAAATGTGACCTAGAAAGAAAGAAAAAAAGAAAGCGAGCGAGCGAGAAAGGTAGAAAGAGATAGAAGCATGGCGTAAGAGAGAAGTATGAAAGTAAAGATAAGGAAAAGAGAGGTGACTGAAAAAGAAAGTCTGAGGGAGCGAGAGAGAGGGCAACAGGAAAGAGGCTACAAAAGTAATAAAAAGGAAAAGAGAGATGTAGGACCGTCAAAGAGAGAGAGAGAGAGAGAGAGAGAGAGAGAGAGAGAGAGAGAGAGATAAACATTCCCATACACGTAGTGACCGAGAAAGAAATGAAGAGAGAAAAGTGAGAAGCAGGACGTGAGAGAGTATGAAAGTGAAAATAAGAGAAAGGGAGGTAAGTAACTGAGAAAGAGAGGCCGAGAAAGAAAGAAAGAAAGAGAGAGAGAGAGAGAGAGAAAGAGAGAGATAGTACAGCCGAATGAAAGTGTACGAAAAAGAGGTAGAGTTGGTTAGAGAGTACGAATGTAAAATTTAGAAAAATGGAAATAAGTAACCGAGAAACAATGACTACCAGAGGGAGAGAGAGAGAGAGGGAGAGAGAGAGAAAGAGAGAAAGAAAGAAAGAAAGGAAGGAAGAGACAGAAAGAAAGAGAGAGAAAGAAAGACAGAGATAGTACAGCCGAATGAAAGTGTACGAAAAAGAGATAGAGTTGGTAAGAGAGTACGAATGTAAAATGTAGGAAAATGGAAATAAGTAACCGAGAAACAATGACTACCAGAAAGAGAGAGAGAGAGAGAGAGAGATGGGGAGATAGAGAGGGTGAGAGAGAGAGAGAGGGTGGGTACGAAATTAAAGAAAAGGAGAATTGGGAATAGTATTTTATAAAGAAAAACTCAGGGAAAGGTACGATAGTGCGAAATTAAATAAAAGGAATAGAGAGACAAGAGATTGAGAGAGAGAGAGAGAGAGAGAGAGAGAGAGAGAGAGGGAAAGAAAGAAAGAGAGAGATAGAGGAAGTAGTTAGAGAGTATAAAACCAAATAGAAGGAAAAGAGAAATATGTAACAGATAAAGAAAGAAAGAAAGAAAGAATGAGAGAGAGAGAGAGGGGGGAGAAACGGTAGGTCAGGAAAGGAAGAGGCAGCGAGTAAGAAGGTACGGAAATAAATAGAATGAAAACAAATATAAGTGATCAATAATGAAAACTTGAGAGAGACAGAAATAGAAATATATAGAGTGAAGCAGCAAATAAGGTTAGTGCAAAAGAAAGCGAAGGAAAAGAGAGATAAGTAACGGAGCAAGAAAGACAGAGAACGAAAGAGAGGAAGAAAGAAAGAGTAGGGGATAAAGAGAGAGAGAGAGAGAGAGGAGCAGCAGGTGAATGAGTGCAAAAGTAAAGAGAATGAACACAGATCAGTGACTGAAAAAGAAAAACTTGAAAGAGAGTAGAGCTCAGATAAAGAGACAGATAAAGATTAAGAAAAGGGATCGGTAAGAAAGACTATATGATTGCTTGAGAGGGAGAAACGGTGATTATGATAGAGAGAATATGAAATACGTCTTCATATTCTTATAAGGAAACATTCAACATTTATTGACAAAGCAGCTAATACTATAGTTGATTGAAGTTTATAATTTTTTTTTTTTAATTTTTCGGGAAAACAGATTTATCAAGTCCAGTAGCTGTTATCGCTCTTTCCAGTATTGATAGAGTTTTTCTTTCCTAACCTTTTATTTAAAGTAGTGTGGAATATCAACATCTTAAGTATGTCATTATTTTTTCTTCGACTTGCGTCTGATAACGATCTTTCGTTACTGCTGTTAAAAGTACACAAATGATCTGGTTTCTGTTATTTAGTACAGTTCTTTGTGATTGTGTAGCGACAGTCCACAAGGTTCGAAGAAGGGAGGTTTCTCCAAGACCCATAGGCTTCACTGGCTCAAAGACATTTTTAACCATTGATCTTAGGAAGCGGTTGTATACAGCAGAGAGCTTAGACATTTCTAAACGGGTTTGGCGCCATGCATATGACATCCACATGAAAGTCTCGATATGACATGACTCGGATTTTCACTCTAATGTTTTGATTTTGTCGCAATAGACCAGACATATTAATAAAAAAAAATAAAGTAAGTGTTGTCTCACAGGCATAGACGTCTTGTTTGATAAAAAAAAAAAATATATATATATATATATATTTAGGCAAAAGAATTTGACAAACCTTGTAAAATCTATAAGGAACTGGAAATAGAAATTACCAGAGAGTGGCATTTATGGACAACCGCTATTCCAGTAGTCAGGAGAATACTAAGAACGATGAAAACGAATACTGATGCGCACATAAGGAAAATCCTAAGAAATCTATTACTATCATCGGTCATATAATCCGAAAAAATAATCTTATGAAAATATGCTCAAAAGTATTTTAAGAAAAAAATGGAATCCAATGCGCTGTCTGCTGTTAAAAATGTTAGTTCATTTTGTCGTGCTAAACAAGTTTTCTCCCCTGAATCTATCTTTCATATTTACTATTTGTCCTTGCTTTGAATATTGCTGTCATATCTGATCCGGTGCTCCTGCTGTTTATATAGAGATTCTTGATAAAATCCAAAGAATCTCGATTTCATGTCACATTGCCGCCATCATAATGTAGCTTCTCTGTGCTTTTGCTATGTATACTTTCATGATAACTGTTCGGGTGAACTCTTCGTTGTAGTACCTCAGTCACTTATGTGCCATGACTGACGAGGCAGATTTCTTTTCCCGCAGTAGGTTGCCATTTCTATCTGTGGTAGACCAATTGCCATCAAAAGCTACAGAACCCGGTCTGTTCACCTATTTACATATATTATATATATTATATTTATATATGGCATGGGTCTTTCTTTCTTTCTCTCTTTCTTTCCATTTAAATAATCATCAGTTCAGTTATGTGCCATGTGTGATACATACATAGGCATCTTTCGATACATGACTGACGCGGCAGATTTTTTACCGCCATTTCTTTCTGGGGTAGACCAGTTGCCATCTAAGGCTATAAAACCCGATCTGTTCTCCTATTTACATATATTATATATATTATATTTATATATGGCATGGGTCTTTCCTTTTTTCTTTGTTTGTTTGTTTGTTTCTTTCTTTCTTTCTGTTTTAATAATCAACAGTTCAGTTATGTGCCATGCGTGATACACGCTTAGGCGATCATGTATCTTTCGAAACATGACTGACGAGGCAGATTTTTCCTGCTGTAAGTTGCCATTTCTTTCTACGGTAGGCTAGTTGCCATCCAAGTCTGTAGAACCCGATCTGTCCTATTTACATATATTATATTTATATATGGCATCAGTCTTTCTTTCATTCCATTTTAATAATTATCAGTTCAGTTACATGCCATGCGTGATATATGCTTAGGCGATCATGTATCTTTCGATACATGACTGACGCGGCAGATTTTTTTTTCCATTTCTTTCTGCGGTAGACAAGTTGTCATCCAAGGCTATAGAACCCGGTTTGTTCTGCTATTTACCCATATTTACCCATAGCTGAAGGGAGAAGAAGAGGATTCATACCTTTCTGAAGGGTATTAGCACGTAAGTGAATGTAATGGATTCCAACTCGGCTCTCCGATTCCTCACTCCGAGCCGCTATCTCCTTCTTGACCTTATCTAGACTTTATGAATTTAAGCGCAATCCTAGATTGGTATCCCTGTCTCATCAATTCACAGTGGAATTGGCTACATGTACCTTTAAGTTCTATGTTAACAGTTTATTTTCTCACGATTCTCCTTTGTGGAACTCTCTTCCGGCTCAATGCTGTCCAGCCTACTTTGATCTTCATAAATTTAAATGCAATGTCAATTGTTATCTTCTTGATTATTCTTCTATTGTTTTCCCGTCTGAATAATGTTTCTTTTTCTTTTTTTTATTTTGTCACAATCAGGAAACCCATTGTGATTTAGTGACTTTAATGCTTTGCATGAGGTGAAATGAATTAAAAAAAACAAAATTTCCTTCTCATCAGGTCTCAAGTAAGAGACTTCGTAAAAGATTTTATCAAACAGCAAAAAACTGAAAATAATAAAAAATAATAGTGCGGAATTATTTATCTTACATGCTAGTGAATGCTGGACAATCTCTTCACAGCTTAAGAAATCTGAAGGAAAATCTGGTTCTACAGAAGAATGCTGAGAATGACAATAACTAAATATGTGAGGAAGGAATATGTTTTCTGGAAAATGAAAACAAAAGATATGCAATTATACTTAGAATCATATGATGCGGAAAGAAGGATTAGAGAATTTGATACTCTCAAGACATGTGGGGGGGGAGAAGAAAGTAAAGAGTAACCTACCTAATGAGATTGTGTAAATGGTTGGCAGAACAGTAATTGGAAGGGATAGCAAAACGACAAATATTATTAAGAGTTACAGAGGACAGGAAGTTGTGGGGAGACATGATCACCCACGTCTTTAAGGGACAAGGCATATAAACGACAGTTATGCCGAACATTTTCGAACCATCACGAAAATTTTAGCAAAAGATGGGAAGAACTACATATATGGAGAAGAATTAAAACCGGCAAAAATATAACATTATATAAAAAACAAAAACAAAATAGCGAGGAAGGTACTGGAATATTTGAGACGGTTGAAATCTTATGTTAACGGTTAAAGAGGGAAAAATAATAAAATAAGATTTATTAGTGAATGTCTTCGTTTTATCAAAGCGTAAAAATGAAAAGAAATGTAGACGAAGAGGACATTAGTGCTTAGAATCAGAGAGAGACAATTGACATTTTTGGGAAATGTAACGAGGAAGAGGAGTTTGGAGATTTTGACACACACAGAAACACGGAGGCAAGAGACAAACAGAGCGAAGGCAAGAGAAGCAAATGAAACAGCGAGTAGCAAAGTGTTATGTAGTGGTTTCACAGTGGAGGCTTGTATTTGTACTAAGTCGGTCCTAAAATAGGTTCGACGTACAAAACGTTAGGAACTTAATATAAAAGGTAATGACGCAGAGAAATCTAGTTGTGGTCGCTAATACTTTAATATCCGACTAACGGTCGTCCGACATCGACTGACTGGCCAACTCGATATTTAGTCCCCCCCCCGCCACGAGGGTATCATGTGGCACAAGGCCGGTTTAACGTGGGATCTCCGAGCCCGTGGGATCTCCGAGCCTGTGGGATCGACCAAAAATATGCCCATTGAACCCGTATAAACGGGTTCAGGGTCGGTTTACCTCCCCGAAAGAGAATCCGCCCTTCAGCGTAGCCTCCTTCGGGTTCCTCCCCGTCCGAAGGCAGAGTGTTCAACCGATCAGCCAGTCGACTGACTGACCAACGATATTCAGTCACCCACCACGAGGGCGTCATGTGGCACAAGGCCCCTTTAACGTGGGATCTCCGAGCCCGTGGGCTCGGCCAAAAATATGCCCATTGAACCCGTATAAACAGGTTCAGGGTCGGTTCAAAGAAAGAGAATCCGCCCTTCGGCGTAGTCTCCTTCGGGTTCCTCCCCGTGCGAAGGCAGAGAGTTCAACCGATCAGCCAGTCGACTGACTGACCAACTCGCTCACTACTGCTACTACTACTCCTACTTATTATAGGTTGTAGATTCTATTAACTATAAAATAGGTGTGTTCCATTATAACACAAAGAAAGCAGGCTTTTGTAAATGGATATGGGGTTCGGGATTTGGAGTGATAGCAAGGGGACAAAGATTACATAGAGCTACAAAGAACACGAAAACGAGGCGAGTCATGGCCGCCAAGATCCTGAAAGGACACCGCACATAGAAAAGTAAACGACTAGAAAACTGAATAAATGGTGGAACAAAAATGTAAGGATTTAAACAAGTCTGTATTAGTGGTGAGGAACATTCCAGAAGAACCTTAGAAAAAGGTTAGGCTAACTCTAAACTAGATAAATAATTGAATATCGTTAAGTAAACCTTATGTTTTCTTCGATATTTATTGACCTAGATGTCAGTCAGTCAGTTATGTGTCATGCGTGATACACGCTTAGGCGATTATGTATCTTTCCATACATGACTGACGAGACAGATTTTTTCCCGCAGTAGGTTGCCATTTCTATCTGCGGTAGACCAGTTGCCATCCAAAGCTATAGAAACCGGGCTATCATTCTATTTACATATATTATATTATATTTATATATGGCATCGGTCTTTCTTTCTTTCTTTCTTTCTTTCTTTCTATTTTAATAAGCATCAGTTCAGTCAGGTGCCATGCGGGATACACGCTTAGGCGATTATATATCTTTCCATACATGACTGACGAGGCAGATTTTTTCCCGCTGTAAGTTGCCATTTGTTTCTGTGGTAGACCAGTTGCCATCCGAGGCTATAGAACCCGGTCTGTCATTCTATTTACATACAATATATCATATTTACATATGGCTTGGGTCTTTCTTTCTTTCTATTTTAATAAGCATCAGTTCACTTATGTGCCATGCGTGATACACGTTTAGGCGATCATGTATCTTTCGATACATGACTGACGAGGTAGATTTTTTTTCCCGCAGTAAGTTGCCATTTGTTTCTGCTGTAGAACCCGGTCTGTTCTGCTACTTAACCATAGCAGGTGGGTAGAAGAAGAAGATATATACCAAGCACGTAAATGAATGTAATGGATTCGACTGGAATTCGAACTCGGCTCTCCGATTCCTCAGTCCGAACCGCTATCCATTACTCCACCGTAAATACTAATTTCAGTTAAAATTTATAAAATCTTTCGATTGAATTCATTTTCCAGGAAAATAGATTTTTCAAGTTAATTTTATCGCTCTTTCTGATATTGATGAGGATATCCTTTCTAAACTTTTCTTTAAAATTCGTGTGGAACATCAACATGTTGTCACGTTATTTTCACTTCGAATTGTATGTGCTATCCAGTTTAGTTGTTGCTGCTGTTGAATGTCCTCAAGTGATGTGGTACATCATTTCGTTAGTGATTCTCTAGCGCCAGTCCACGAGGTTCGAAGAACATGATCCTCACTAAGAGCTACAGACTACATTTATTCGCCGAAAGTCATTTTTAATAATTGATCTGTGAAAGCGGTTGTTTACAGATGTGAGTTTAGATGAGAGTTCGCACCATGCATGTTATCCTAAGGCTAGTTTCGATCTGATGACTCTTTTTACGAATCGAAATTGAGTTCTTTATTTTATGTTTTGGTTTGGTAGCAACTTGCGGTATTGGGCGAAACTACTCCTAGCGAAGACTATTCTATGCTTCGAAAATCAAAGTAGTAACTTTCCATCATCATGATGCAGACCCTGGATTTTCGTCTATCGCAATGAACAGGTCTTCTCTTAGAGAGGTACTTAAGTGTCTACTGAGACTTAAGCTAAACCCTGACAACAAGTACAACTCGTACATACGATCCATCGCTAGGGATGCTTGAAAAATAGTCGACAGCCCATACCGCTTCAGTAAGTATTTGACGCCTCCTCTTACCTTTACAAGAGCCAGATCAGGCCGAAAATGAGCCGGAACTGCCTAGTCTTTACTATGTCAGTCCAAAATCATAAACGCAGCGTTGTGGGTGATTATTTTCCACCTTACAACCTCTTTTCCACAGACGAAACGTTGCAATCCTCTCGCATATCTATCAATATTTCCATGTAAAGAGTTCAGGCGAAATACATTCATGAGTTACACCAAACCTTCATAACCAAACCCGCCATGCCACACACACTGAAGCAAAACACCTTCATTCCCTTCGGTGAGATGTAAGTTCCACTCGAACGTCTTTGTGGAACCGACACCCAAGAGGATGCTTCCCCGATCACTCAAATCTTAACCTGTTCAAGTCTACAGTTAAAAGCCCCAGGCACGGTGGAGTAATGGACAGCGGCTTGGATTGAGGAATCGGAGAGCCGAATTCGAATTCCAGTCGAATCCATTACATTCACTTACGTGCTAATACCCTTAGGAAAGGTGTGAATCCTCTTCTTCTCCCTCCGGCTATGGGTAAATAGCAGGACAGACTGGGTTCTATAGCCTTGGATGGCAACTGGTCTAGGAGAAGGAAAACTCTGAATTCAAAACCTGCGGAGGGTGAATGGAGTCTCTCTGAGCCTTGTTTGGCAATCCATTTAGTGATGGTGTCACGATAATACACCCTTGATAGCCCTAGCGAAGGATCAAGAATTCAGCTATTTGACAAGATTACGAACTCCACCAATCAAAGTATTAGCTATGACGGATAAGGATTACTGGAAAGGTGTAGTGAGTTCAATCTCGGCTGAGGCCGCTAAAGAAGAAGAAACGCCCCAAACATACTCATAAACCTCGCCCCTTATCTCTTAATCTGTAACCGTCTACCTATAGTGGTAGACGGTTACAGATAGGGTGAATAATATTGTAAAAAAACAAAAAAAAACTTCATTTTCCTTATTTCCAGCAGTAAATATGTTATAACTGATCCAAACACCAAGGTATTTGAAATGGTAAGTATTTATTAATTCCTCATTTTGAATTTCTAGCTAGACTCACTTGCTAACCATTGCACCACATCAAAGTGGCCCTAAAAGATTTTCTAAGCATAACTTAGATGTAGCAGAAGGCCGAAATTGGGGAGCACTCAGTAAGGAACGAACTCCATCCTGAATATTTAAAATGGTATCATCAGGATATCGTGCTATCACTGTTTTCATTCCAATTCCATATGATAAAAAATGTGTAAAGAAAATGACAGTGTCATGCGAAGACTTGCTTCCACTTGATCTCCCCTGAGAAATGAAGGGCTAGTGTGAAAACTCAACGAATATATATTGAATAATACCAATAACAACAACAAATGAGGCCTGGAACAGCATTAGGAGAATGAATCGCGATAATGGAGATATATTTTTTTTCAAAACCGTGACAGACATATCCATCACCTTCCCCACTTTTCCGAAGCTCCATCTCAGCCAGCGGCAGACTCCCCTCTCGAATCACTCCCGATGTGATACACCTGCTCCCACTGAAGCAATCCTGCGCCACCACCATGCTTTTAGGTGAGCGTGGGCTTTTAAAAATGATGAAATTCCTTAAAACATAGAACGAAATGCCTACAGAAAGGAAATTAATATGATAGCCCTTTCTTTTTTTTTCATATTTTCTTTATGGACCGGAAGATCATTGGACGAATCGGTGATGTGGGATGAGTATCATATATATATATATATATATATATATATATTAGAAGAAAAAATGATAAGGCATTTTCAGAGAACGTATTTATAACAAATAGTAATTACAATAAAGAAAAAATATGAAAAAGATACAATGCCATAGAAGCATATATATATATATATATATATATATATATATATATGCTTGTGTGTGAGCCTATGAATATATGCATGTGGACTGTATATATGCGTGAGCGCAGACATAAACATATACACACACATACATACATACATATATATATATATTCGATATACATACGTATATATATATATATATATATATGTATACATATATAAATATATATATTCAATATATATATATATAAATATTCGATATATATATATATTCGATATATATATATATATTCGAGATATATACATATATATATCTACTATATATATATCTACTATATATATATATACTATTCTTAAAAGAGGCACTCAGAGTAGAGCAAATATAATTATATATTCAAAAATTATAACAGAAATATATTATAAAATCACTACTCATTAAATCACTATTCATTAAATCGAACCTTACATGGGCGTCAAGTGTAGCTGAAAGTGATGCAGCCTTAAAGAAGGATGAACACAGCATCAAAACACCTGGTTTGACGCCTTAAATGAGTTCTATTAGAAATGGATAGTATTAGGCGCTAAGGAATCAAAGGCTGCCGTGCATACATTCTTAAAATGGAGTACATCAGCCCAATACCTAGCACAATATCCCCAAAAACTCTCTGGCGAATTAATAAAATCTGTCGAATCTTTTACATACCGAGGAAGCGAAATAAATTCCATTGAAAAGGATGTGAAAATTCGTATAGGTAAAGCCTGTGCTGCCTTGAATAAAATGGATGTGATCTGGAAATCTGATCTACCAGACAACCTCAAACGCAGCTTTTTGGAACTACTGTAGAGGCGGTTTTAATGTAAAGGTGCCACTGACTGGACATTAACTAAAACCCTAGAGTCTAAGCTTACATTCGGATACTGAAAGGTATACTTAACATCTCTTGGAGACAACATCCAGCTAAATCACAGCTCTATGAATCAATCCTGATATGTCTACAATCTTATGCGAAAGCATAATATTCTTTGCAGGATACGGCTGTAAAACAAGAATTTGCGAGTGGTCTTCTGCTCTGAACGCCTAGCTATGGTTCAATACGGGTTGGTCGCTCAGCAACTACATACATTGACCAGCTATTTTATAACACAGAATATTTCCTTAATGAGCTTCTATCCTCGATGCAGGACCTTGATTGTTGGCGTGATAGACAAATGAATATCTGAGCTCGACCGAATAATAGAGATGAATAAAGGAACGTGCAGAATTTAGCTATATATTGTATCAAAACGTCACTTTTTCCCCAAAATAATGATTAAAAAAATTCCAACTCTGTCCTATATGTGAAGTTGACTCTTCTCGTAAGTTAATTTTATCTCCACTCTTACAGACTATCAATTTATCTTGGACATTCACTTCTACCTATTCTGACACAATAATATCCTTTGTTCAAAACACTTTGTCTTATTATAATTCTGGTTGTCCATTTCTCAGCACGACCGTTACGCCCTGCCAATACCTCATAAATATTAGACTACTCCGTTTTAATAGCATAGAAAGACGGAAAAGACATATCAGAGATGCTACTTGCTTTCAGTGAAAGAAAGAAAGAAAGAAAGAAAGAAAGAAAGAAAGAAAGTGTTATGGGACCTTAGCCATAATAACATAATGGACTATTCCATACGTAATAAATACTGCGCCTCAAGAAGAAGCAGAGAGTTCAGTCCGAAGTCGGGCGACCGGCTGATCGGGTGATCTGTTGAACTCTCTGCTTACGGGAGGGGAGGAACCCGAACGAGGCTACGCCGAAGGGCGGAGTCCCTTTCGGGGAGGTAAACCGACCCTGAACCCGTTTATACGGGTTCAATGGGTATATTTTTGTCCGAGCCCACGGGCTCGGAGATCCCACGTTAAACCGGCCTTGTGCCACATGATACCCTCGTGGGGGTGTGACTAAATACCGTTCAGTCTGAAGTCTGGAGTGAGGTCCGTCAAAAGTCCGTCAGGAGTCTGTCAGTCAGTCAGAGCGAGAGAGTCAGTCAGTCGAGTCAGAGGCAGTCCGAAACAGAGTCACGTTTCAGACAATTAGTAGTAAACCTGATTGTTCGTAATAACACTTTCTACTTCTCTGTATATATTCCTGTTTGTAATATATCTGTGTTATTTCATGTTCGAGTTCTTCTTTATTGGTTCTATTTTGGACTATCACCGTGGTACAAGGAACCGGACCATAACAGAATGAAAGAAAGAAAAAAAGAATGGAAGATAGGAGTATTTAACGTCTGTTTCAGTGAAATGGAAAAAAGCTGTCAATTTGAAATCTTTTCATATCTACCGCCTTGATTAAAATAACGACCAACATTCATATTTATGATTGTTATTGCAATATTTTTTTAAAACGGTTAAGTTCGAATATTTTAACGAAGCAATAGAGGAATTTCTACGAATATTTTATTTTCGTAGAAATCGCCATGCACTTATTCAGTCATTAAATTAAAAATTAAGATTCATCAGAAAATCCAAATGGGAAAACCGTGAAATTTTCAGGTTATTTCTAGTTATTGTTACTATTATTATTATTATTATTATTATTATTACTATTGAGTAATGAGATTGCAGCATCAAAAATGACGTTGGAATGCAAACATACGAAGTCGAATATACCCTTTATAAAATCCAGCCTGAAAACGTTATACAAGGCACATGCATCACGGCCAGATATGCACGATATTTTGACAGATTTTGATAATCAATTGATTAACTGAGTTTATATATTTTATGGCTTATCAACCCTTTGTGGGTTATACAAAGCCGAAACATATTGCTGATTGTCGGAGATTTCTTACACTACCCGTTCTTCCCAAGTGGCCCAGCTTTTGATATAAGCATAACATAACATTTTAGGTGGTGGAGGTCAAGTTAGAAATATCTTCAGGTCGAGTACGCCAATCTGCTCAGATGGTTTCCGAACGTATCAAGACGTGACTCCGAAATTGCCTATCTGTCTCATTCTGCAAAAAAAAAAAGAAAAGAAAAAAAAGAAAAGCATCTCCAGATACAACTCTGATAATCCCTCACTTACCATTCAGATGCACAGAGATGCACAAATGCGTCAGACCCTAGGGAAGATACCCAACTAAGTTCAGGCAAGTGACAAGCAAATATGTTGGTAGTGAAATGGATATTTACTGCAGTAGGACGTGGCAACATTATTATTATTATATTTATTTTATTTCCTTTGATTTCTGGTGCGTACACATTTTTTTCCGGGTCCCGCCCAGAGACCTAAGATTAAAAATGACATCATGGCATTTTCTACTGACCAATTAAAAAAAAAGAAAAAAAAACACAGACATATTTTACATAGATAAAGCCCATCGTAAGGCGTGGGCAGTACGAGTGAGAACAATTTTTGTATTTCTTTAAGGCATGGACTTCCTGGAATCCCTTCAATTAGTCTACTGGAATCTTTTCCAACCAATCCGAGGTCTCCAACTACAACGGTGATTGTTTATGTTCCCATGTTCCACATTTTTGAGATTTCGAATTCAAGGTCCTTGTATTTTGATAGCTTTTTGAAGATCTTCAAAGATACATTGCGGTTTGCATGGATTGCCATATCAATGTCTTGGTGGTTAGCTTTGTTCTGTCTTTGTTTATTGTGTAGTCCCATAAAATTGTAACAGGTCCTATCTCCGTAACCGGGTCTGGGTGGTGTTCATACTAATTTCTTTCAGTTTCCTTCCCGTAGAAATTGCAGATTTTCCAGTGCAGACATTGGCCCACTCTGTCGTGCCGGGTTTTATATTCAGTGGCTGCCAATACCGTGCAACCTGATATAAGATGATCAATTGTTTCTGGATATTTATCACAGAATTTTGGGCTAACACAATTACTATTATTATCGTAATAATTATCTTAACAGAGGTACCGGCAACTTTCGTCAGTACTAGCTGATCAATTATACTTCAATACACTGTTATCATTAAGCAGTTGTAGAAGAACAAGGTTTAACCATACAAAAATAGAGGTAATGTTGAAGCTGTTTTTACTGAGGTCTCACGGTAATGGTAACTTCATTCTTATAAATTTTTTAAGTGGTTCACAGGAATGTTCCCGGTTTCTGCCAGACATGGCCTGCAGCAGTTTGAATTTGATTAATTTCGCGTCTAATACATCCCGATTAATTTGGTATTCTCTTGCAATGTTTAATTACCGTATTCTTCCCTGCATTGAATATTGATCTGCATTGTTATAGGTTGTGACCTGACATCTCGGCTTCAGTCATTTATCAGCCGTCGTAACGTACCTTCAATGTACATTTTCTATAAATACTTGAATAGTAATTATTCTGATAAGCTTTCCTTTTTGGTTCCTAGATTTTACAAATTTAAGCGTACTGGCAGATAGGCAACAAGGTACACTACATTATTCGGACTATTGTCCTCATCTTTGTTGCCATATTTATCACAATTCTTCGGCCGTTGCACGATCCGGCCTTCTTTAGGTAGTTGGAATGTCGAACTGAACCCTTTATTTCCCTGGCTGTGGTAGACTGTTATCTCCTGTTAATTCACCTCTTCAACTTCCCCACTACCTTAACTAGATATTGAACACACAACTCTTTGGGTCCTGTCACTGGATCTAACCAACGTGCCATGTGCCATATGTTCTTACGGACATCTGTGTGTGAATTTCTGGGAGTTATAAATGTAATCTCTTCAGCAACCATTTTTTACAAGTGCTCATATTGCAATTTTTGCTGTAATCATTGCATGTCCCAGAAATTCTTATACAGATGTCCTTAGGGACACATGACACAGTGGATAAGTTAGATCGAGTGACAGAACCCAAAATGTTGTCAATACCTGGTTAAGGCAGTGGAGAACTTGGAAAGGGGAATTAACAGGCGATAACTGATAACTGTCATCCACTAGACATGGCACGGGGAACTAGAACAGACGAGCGAAATAAAGGGTTCAGTTCGGCATTCCAACCACCTGCAGAAGGCCGAAGCGTACAACGGCCGAAACGTTGTGATAAATATTGCAACAAAGACAATGACAATAGCCCGAATAATGTAAATAGCGTCCATAATGCCTCATCAAGGCAGCAAGATATTATAATTTTACAGGTGTAATAGTAAGACGTAACCGTAAGTTCTATGATAGCGATTCGTTCTTTTGCATTTCTCTCTTGTAGAGCACTCTTCCACCTTTCTGCATTCCAGTCTTTGAGTTTCATAACTTTAAGTGCAATGTCTATAGTTCTTTCATTGTTCTTTTTACTTAAAAATGCTTTCAATTTTCTCATATTCTTTCAAGGCTTATGGCTACATTTGTTCTGGATTGAAAACTGTCTCTTCCCCATTTATTTGCCAGTTGGTTAACTATGTCGTGCTAGACAATTTTTCTCTCTGGAATCTATCTTACATATTTATAAAGTCTACCATCCGTCCATGCTTTGAATATTGCTGCGCCATGTGGTCTAGTGTCCCTGTTATATATTTAGAGATGCTTGATAAAATT